TGACGATCTACATCCTTTCAATTACTTCTAAATAGTTTAAATTAACACCCCACAAACGTCTGGATGTATTTCGGCACACAGAAGTGTGTTTGTGTGAACATGTGTTCCTTATATTTGCATCACACAGCCCCTGAACACACTTCTGGCTGTCTCCGCAGGGAAGGCGCCTTTGTTTCCCCATTATATAGCCTTGTATGTGTGGGTGTCTGGTCTGCAGGCAGGCTGCAGTTATTCTGCCACATCAGCTGAGAGCCATTTTCACAGCTCCTGTTGCTGAGACCTCGTAAAGCCTCCAGCAAACCCAGCACCACACACACAAACACTCACAATTTTCCCTATTTCTCACTGCAGGGTACTGAGCAGACGCTATATAAGAGCTCAAAAATGCTATTTCACACACATTCATGCTATACACCCTTTATCTAATATACACATACACGCACTTGTTTACTTAGCTATCTAAAAGAGGAGAAAACATCGTTATATAAATATATAAAATATATAAAAAATAATACAAAATATTTTTTTTAAATTATATATATAAAATTTTTTTTACAATGACTAACCAAAAATCAACCCTAAAACTCTCAAAATGATTACTTTCTAATCATCAAAGAATCCTGATATATATAGTAATATTTTATAATATTACTGTATTTTGATCAAATAAATGCATGCCTTGTTGAGCATAAGTGACTTCTTTCAAAAACAGTGTGTGTGTGTGTGTGAGTGTGTATAAATACACATTTATTTAACATTTGGGGACAATTGCTCCCTCAAAACATAGATAAGTAAACCCATAAGCCCACACAAGCACATACTCGTACACTACACTAACTTTCAGCAGCACACCAGCATTTAAACTCTCGGAAATAAAACCAAATTTCCCTTGACCAAAAGAGGTGAATCCAGTCAGGAAGCTTAAATGGATCTACTCAGTTTAGCAAATTAACACGGATTCAATCCTCTAATCCATTTGCGAGCGTGTCAAAAAAGAAAAAACTTTCTATGTTTGTTTCTACATTTACATTCATTTAGCAGATGTTTATGCAAGGCGACTTACAAATTAGGACTTTCTGCACACAACCATGTATGTCAGTGACCTATTGAGATTGTCTCTATTCTAATCCCTTCTCCCAACGACCTCCCTCCCAAATTTCCCTCGTACTTTGCCTCATCTTAAGCCTGAGATCAGTTAACTAGCGCTTTTATCCAAGCCCAATTAGCCTGCGATAAATTAATTATTAAAGATCCAGTGGGGCTAACATATTTCTTTGAGAGCGAGCGCTGATACAAAAGGCCCATCACGCGTACACACACAGACCGTGTGACATTTATGATAACACACAAATCCTTGCAGTTACCCACATTCGCTCGTCTGAATTCATTATCGGAAAACCCCCCACAGGTTTGAGCTGGATCTGAATCTCTGAAACGCAATTACCGAAACGCACAGTGATTTAGACAGAAGAACACGGAAACCTTCTGAACCGTTAGTAACCGTTTGGGATCAAATTACCCAATCCACATCTTAACATAGTCAATTGTAAGAATTACACAGCCCTAACTGACCCCTCAGAACATCAGTCAGAGATGTGTTTGCTCATCCAGAAAGAGCCGGGTACCAAGGACACACAAACACACTTTGTCTTTCTTGTGTGTATACAACGTATCAGGGGGTGTGAATGTCAGAAGGTGAAGGACACTTCCCAGACAAGCTGGCTCACTGAGAAACACCATTACTGTTTACTAAAAAAAGCCCTCCTGCTTCATGCCTTTTCAGTCTCAAGAAACCATTTTTCATGTACGCCCCCTTAATTAAATATACATTCCGTAATTACATTAAACTGCAGTGTCTATGAACAAACACAATTTTTTCTTTATAGATTTTTTACCCTAAGCAGACAATTTCAAGGCATCTTTGTGCTTGACTTGCATTTTCTTAAGCCTAACTCAAACTGACATTCATGGCTTAGAAGATATTGATTTCTGTACATTTAAGGATGCGCCCCGCTGTTCCTCCCTCGTCTCCCGATCCCTCTTTCCTCCCATCACTTCTCAACTCCTTCTTCATTCCTCTGAAGGCTACACATGTTTCTAATTTCGCACAGGGAGGAGAGTGGCAGAGCCATCGTGAGAGGGTGAGATGGAGCAGTAGTAGTGACGGAGAGAGTGATGGGATTGAACGGGTGAATAAAACATTCAACAGATGCAGGACCTCATCTTCAAAGCACTGAGGAGCAGAGGTTCACTGATCCCTATTAAATATACAGCACTGCCAACAATGTAACCTGCGTACAGCTACTTTTAGAGCGAACTGTGCAGACTCCTGTAGCCTGGAGCAAAACCACAGGGTGCAGATGTCTTTAAGTGCGTGTCTGCGCGAGCAGCCAAATTTACACTGCACATATTTTCAATTTAAATATGAATATGGCGACGCTGTGTTTGTGTATGTGGGTTGTAAGAAAGAAACCAGACTTTACATTGCAGTGTTCAAGCTACCATGTGGCACAATAATAAGTTATTAATACAAGCAAACAGTAGCTACTTAATATGTAATGTATAGTGCATGTAAGGCAGATTTCCAGGCAAATTAATGCCATTATTTGGCCACTTTGATATTGTGAACCATTAACCATGCTTCATTTGCCAATTCAACTGACTGTCCATTTAAAACAACACATTTTCGTTTTCATTTTTTGTGAAGTGTTACTAAGTGAATGTTTAACATGTTTATGTGTAAAATAAACACTGACTGACTGCAATGTACAGTTTCAGCAAAATGCGAGTTTCCTCTTAATTGTGAGCGTTTCCCACTGTGAAAATAAGCGAATTCGTATCATTTAAAGTGCAAAGAATGCTTCTCTCACTCCCAGGTAAAGGTCAAGCAAAGTCACGGTCATGCCTCTCACCCGTGCGCGCTGCCATTTCAAATGAGGTCCCCACAAACCCCTGCTAGATTAACACAAGCAACACCAACAAGAACCCTCATTAAGAGCGTCTACCAGCGGCCACTGGGACAGAATAAACCCCCTCCATCCCCCTCCCAGCAGCATCTGTTGAAGAGCAGAGCCCGGTATATGCGCCACATGGACACATTAAAAACCTATTCGTCTTTCAAGAGCTCGTGGCACCACTAATAGCCCCTCATAACCCACATACCGATTTAGACCGGGCACACAAGAGCTCCCACGACGCCGGGTGTCCATTTAAACAAGCTCAGTAATGACAGAAGGACGAAAGAAAGGGGCCTGCTCGACCATAAATCGTCGTTTATGTGCCGGACACGCCGTTTGCATGGGATTCATTGGCTCCCCACTAAATGAATTCACAGTTGCTGAGTTGCAGAAACCTCCCCCTTATTTACACATACGAGAAATCTATCCGTAAATTACCCACTATTCCTTCCTGCGGCAGAGAAAATCGTGTCACCTCCGTGACTGGAGTAATACATTTTGCAGAGTGAAATGGGACTGATTGACCATCTAAAGTTAACACTTGCGTGTAAACACTTTTCACTTCAGGTGTTTCCACGTTAACTCCAGTGTCGATTAAGAGTGAACGTTTACACTTTTTTTGCTTATACTGTCCTGACAGCAGATAAATTGCTAACTAATAATAATCCCTAAGAAGTCGGCCACAGTGCTAACCCGATCTCACGAAAGTGCGTATAAATAGTACGCCAAATAAAAACGAAAACTCGTGGTATTGATACGCAAAAATGGACTTTGGCGTGTATATGCTACGCGATGGGTAGGATTAGTGTTGTGGGGTAGATGCAGGGCCGTTTCTAGGCATAGGCGAGCTAGGCGGTCGCCTAGGGCGCCACCAGCTGAAGGGGCGCCAATGAGCGCACGTACTGGCACTTTTAAGCAGGGTTGTGATAAAGAGTGGCACGGTCACCCTGAAATATGACTGCCGCCCCCACTGGATCCCCCAACATTATTGGGCTAGAGCAGTGTTTCCCAACCGGGGTGCCGTCTGTCGAGAGCAGGGGTGCAGTGTAAAAAATATTTTTTAAATATTTTTAAATTGCTAAAATATTCAAAAAAGCATATATTATATAATATCCATTTCTGATGTCGCCAATAATTAGAGATGCACCGAAATTTCGGCTGCCGAAAATTAGTTCACCTAATTTGGGGGGGGGGATAGGGATTTCGCAAATTGGCTAGAAACGGCCCTGGGTAGATGCGTATCATATGCACGCCAAACACCTGCGTAGCATATACACACCAAAGTCCATTTTTGCGTATCAATAACACGAGTTTTCGTTTTTATTTGGCGTAGGGCCTACTATTTATATGCATTTTCATGAGACCGGGCTCACAGTGCTGTGCCTTCACAGTTCTAGTTTACATTTCAGTTTCTTCAAAGTTCGAGTTGTATTTTACAGAGTGTCACCTATGAATAAAAGTGCAAATGGTTCTGAATTAATGTAAACATTTTTTTATATATGGCCGGTGTAAATGTTAAAGTTTACACCTTGGCAGAACAAGCTCTTTTGTTTTAACTGCTGTCATGACAGAAGTTAAACTGGTGACTAAAACAGCTCTGAGGGCTTCTACACGTTCTCACAAGTTGAAGCAAGAACGTTTTACAAAGGTTACATTGTTTAAATGGCATAAAAATACTTGGTGTTGAGCAACTAAAATTCATGCCAATCTAACTGGAGCGTATCTGAAGGAGAGGCAGTGAAACAGTGCAGCGTCAATAACTGTGGCGGCTACTGTCGTAAAATTCCTTAACGCACACCGTCAATGAAATGTGGCATTTATTAGGCTGGCGACATTGATGCTCGTAATTTCTGCACACTCGCGATTATCCACTAAGGGGCTTGTCTGCGTAATAGCGCTCAACAGTTTTCTTTCCCCCTGCGAGAGACGTTACAAAGCCGTCCTCCAACGATTTGTGCGAAAACACGAGGCGTTTGACCATCTCCATCTCAAAGCTCTGCTTAAATAAACGCCGTGCCCAATGCCTTTAGTTGCGGCTCTTACCTTTTGTTCAAGGAATTCCAGTAGATGGGCTCCATGTTGGTCGCCGTGATCCCGAGTAAATCCACTAAGAATATCAGGAGAATTCCCAATCCATTTTCACAGCCCCGACTCGCCATTTGAAATCCCGAATTCCGTCTATTTACTCCCATCAAAGCTGTGTGGGATAGGCTACGCTCCCAGAGGTTGGAGATCTCTGGACACGAACAAAGCGTGTGTGCTTCAGGTGAATCCGTCAGTGTGCTCAGGAACAACGTGTTTTGGGAGCCTGCATGGATATCTGCTAAAACACACACACACGGGAGGATAGATTAAACAAATGTGCTGTCTATGTGGATTTAAGGAGAGAATTCCACAAAAAACGTCTTTAGGGAAAAGTAGCTCTTGGACAAAACTCCGCCGCAATATCAATTCCCACTGCCGTTTTGCTGCAATTTTCCCTGCAAGAGTTTACTTTTCCAGTATTTCGTGATGCTTATTGTTTTTTCCCGAGGGGTTTAGACTGGACCTATCTTTCCAATTCCCTTTTCACTCCCGCTTCATTCTGTTATTCCGCCGAATTAGGACGAGAATATGATGGTTTGGAATTAGCTTTTCCTCGCCTCTTCAGAAGAACATATTGATGCTGGACAGATCTCGCTGCTTCTCTTTCTCCCCTCTAGTTCTCCAATTGGATTCTCCTGCTTGACTCCTAGATGCCAATAATTCCGTATGCACTTGAAATGTTGAGACGGGCAACAAACAATCCAGATAATTAAGGGGGGGGGGGATTAGCAAAACGAAACTAATTAATGCAAATTAAAAACAAGCATTTCAAATGGACACAAATTTACAAATGTGCCGAGACTGACAAAATTATTGCCAGATTTTCCAGGATGGAAAAAATATTGCAATCCTTATTCATGGGTCTCGGTTGCAGGGTATTTGAGAATGTGCTCGGATGTGGCAAGTCATTAGATAGTTCATTTCTCGCCTGTCCTGCTTGGATTCTCTCGATGTGTCTCTCTCTCTGGCTGCAAATCCGACTAGTGAGACTTGTTCCTAACGCTCGGCGCACACTGACAGACTGAGTTGTTTTGAGAAAGAGAAAGAGAGAGAGAGAGGCGGAGGGAGGGGGAAAGGGGAGGTGTGCGTGCTCGAATAAGAAAAATCCCATCTTCCGGCTGGAGTGCGCACTAACGGAGCGGATTTTTCTTTGGGGGATTTGTTTTTTCCGCATGTAGAAGTGCTATTAAATCACGTCAGTCACGAACACATCCATATACCATGCAAACATATTTCCCAACGCTCATGTAAAGGATTCTCTCCATAAATAAATGATACCAGTCTCAGAGCACGTACATTTTTGTGACTGCTTCTTTTTCCGTTTGATATGATGATCGTGATCCGCGGCACCCGATCACACCGATCAGCGCTGTGCATTCAGAAGCGACGGCTTACGGCGCTACAGCGCCCCCAGTGCATTCGCTGGTAACGGTGCATGTAATAACATTTCAAGCTGGTGGTAACGACACTAATGACAAGCTTAGTAAGATATGCAGCAGATAAAGAGCTTGTTTAATAAATATCTCTACCGTCCAATTGAAACTGCAATGATTTTCAGCGTTCTGCGTATGTGAGAAATCGGTAATTAATTGTGTTTGTATGCTTGTCATCTGAAAACTACAATTAAGAAGTGTATAATGGACTTAAGTGCTGCTTATGGGAGCCAAGGCGAAAGAGTAAAACCTTGCCTACACTGACACCCAGCGGTGAAGTACTGATACTACAGTCCAATAACGCTTTACAGATGGCACGCTGCAAATCTTGACAGCCATATCCATTTTATATAATATTAATATAATTTTATGTAATATTAATATAACAGTTAGAAACGATTAATCCATCCATTTCATTCATCCATCCATTCATGTCACATTTATTTTATATTTTACTGCTGTCCCAATTCATCAAAAGACTTCAAACGGCATTGTTTAGCATTATTTATTTAAATAAAGCAGAGTAGTTGATAAATAGGCTTTTTAACGACTAGCAAATGTTTAATAAACTGGGTTGTTTTGTTTAAAATTTTATTGGGCCTTGTAGCAACAGTTAGCAACAGCATATTTGTTTTTATTAATTTTTTTTTACCTGTAATATCTGCCTATTTGTCATTATGGAATCTTGCTGTGAAAGGGCAAATATATATTTTTTCATGCAACAATTTTCTAGTGAAAATGTCTAGTATACTGTTCATTTGGATCACACAATGCATGTTAATGTAATTAAAATAGGACTAACAATAACAATGTGTAAGCTGCTCCAGGAAATTATTACATATTTAATATGTTGTTGATCAGTAGTGTCAATCACTACACTATAATGTAAAATAAGACTAATAGGGTATTAAATATGCAGAATTGTTTATTAAAATTTGATCTGATAAACCAATTAGTTCAACGTAGTTTTACATGCAGACAGCAAAATGTGTAGTACTCACTTTTATCTTGCAATACTGCAAAAATGTATATACTGTACATATTCTATTTATTATGAAACCGATGACATGTTTCATTACAAAAATGCTTTGTAAAGATAAATGTATTAATGAAAGTATATTTTAGATGCCACAACTTGTCATCTTTTAACATTTATACAAATGTTTCAAATGGCTTTAGACAAAGTACAGCGTGTAGTGCAGGACACTGCTGTGACTGCTAGACACATGTCATGTCAAATACCCCGACAGTGTGATGTGAGAACACTGCCATCACAAGTTAGGATGTGATCTCATCAGTCTGTGTCGCAGTGTCCATGAGACCTGGCTCTCTCCCCAGTCTGCGCAGTTTTAAGAGGTAATCAGAGTGGAGGGAGGAATCAGTCAGGTCCACAAACCGCCTGTAGCTGGCCTGCACCTTCTGAAAGACAGAAAGAGAGATGGAAGAACACAAACATGCTGATTAAATTTTAGTTAGACAGGTGGATCATCATAATGACCAAAGATGGAAACGTCCTCAAACAAAAGGTCAAATGTCAATACTGTTATCTATTAAGACAAGGAGGAACACAGACTCATGGGGAGAAACAAACTAAGCTTAATAAGAACCAAACGTCAGAGGGTGTGCTGGCATGGGAAGAGAGAGAGAGTTCTGTTATTCCGTCATTTTGTTGCAGGGTGTTGCAGATGCTGGATTTGAGCGGGTCCCTTTTTAAAGCTGTTCATTTATTCATGATGACCTCATTACAACGGCTGACCTTAAACTCTGCTTCATACTGAATGCGCTCCCTGCAGGCCTGCTCCAGACTGTCCTGCAGCTGCTGTATACTGGAACACACATGCACCGTCATGCACGACTTCAAAACATTATTAACAAAAAACAAAAACAAAAAAAGAAAAGAAAAGAAAGGAAAGAAAATTGGTGGAGAAGCAGTGTTGATGACGACAACAAAATCTATAAAATCTAGGATTCTAGTAGAAAAGGGAGAAGGTAGAGAGATACAAAGAGAGAAATTGATGACATTTACAAAAGGTGGGAAGGAAGGAGAAACAGAATAGCTGAGATGCATCACAACATGAAGCTGGGGTGCGCAGGAGAGTTTCATCATGTGTATTGTTACCTGTTTTGTAGCTCAGATATCTTCTCTTCATGTCTGTCCTGTAGGGCCTGTTTCTCTCTTTCTGCCTTAATGTCATACTCCTCACGAATACTTCTCTCAGCATCCTGCACATACCTCCTCACACACTCCTGACAGGCAGAGGAAGGGAATAAGCAAGGTGAATGACTCACAACTCTACTTGATTCTGATTGGTCAGATTCTAAACTTTGCTAATTTTGTTTCTTCAACTATTTACATAGTTGATATATGTGACCCTGGACCACAAACCCAGTCTTAAGTCGCTTGGGTATATTTGTAGCAATAGCCAAAAAAACATTGTATGGGTCAAAATTATCTATTTTTCTTTTATGCCAAAAATCATTAGGATATTAAGTAAAGATCATGTTCCATGAAGATATTTTGTAAATTTCCTACCGTAAATATATCAAAACTTAATTTGTGATTAGTAATATGCATTGCTAAGAACTTCATTTGGACAACTATTAAAGGCGATTTTCTCAGTATTAAAATTTTTTTTGCACCCTCAGATTCCAGATGTTCAAATAGTTGTGTCTACCATAATTATGTCCCCACTGGATGCAACGAATGCCTCGTTTATATTGGGTTTTCGTGTTTTTGAAGGGTAACTCTTAGCTGCATTACCGCGTAAGTGGGATAATGTAAGCGGCCAGTCATTATTGCTAATTAAATCAACTGATTGTACATTATCCAGCAATTTTCTTCTATATCTTATATTTATACATTATCATATAACTATACATTCTCTGAAGAAGAAGTGGATGTTAGCCATGCTCAACTTATACCATTATGCCAGTGGTTCTGAGTGGTTGCTAGGGTTTTTAGGCCGATTACATGTTGAATCATGGTTGGGCAGCCGGTGAGAGAGATCACTCTGATTGGCTGTTGAGCTTATGCTGGGTATACACTTCACAATTTTCAAAGTAACCTACTACACATCACACTACACAACTGTTTATCATGAAGTTGCTGTGATTTGCACATTACACATCGGATCAGCAACTGGGGGTCACACATTATACAATGTGATCATCACTCACATGAATGAGCATCAGTTGGCCTCAGATTTCAGGCTTTTGTCTGCAATCTCCAGAAAACTGTTGGCGAGTGAAAATCAGGCCTAAAATCGTGTAGTGATACCCGGCATTAGAGAACCACCTGCTGGTATAGCCAGTTATTTCCTCTCACGAAGGCTATAGTCTTTGCAGTGTGTTCAAGCACAACTATTTGTCACAGACACAGGAGACGTAAATCGACAACACAGTCGGCTTTCTTTGCTGCTAGTGTGTCACAGCCTTTATGAAGCTGACCTTAAGGAAGGTCACCCCAATGTAGGTCTATCTGATTTACCTATTGTGGGAAGCAAACATCCCACCTGTGTCTCTTCTCGTACAGTGTGTATTATTTTCTCTCTGGTCTCCTCTGCTTCTTTGTGCAGCTGTTCTTGCAGCTTCCTGCAGGCCTCCCCTATGGCCTGGACCTTGTCTTCCTCCATCTGAGCCCTCAGGCCTTCAAACTGAGCTCTGAACTGGGCCTGCAGCTCGACCTGGAGCTCTCTCCTCATTTCAGCCTCCAGCCTGTCCCTTGCTTGCAGGGCCTCTTGAAACCGGGCCTGCAGACTCTGGAGAAGAAGTGATGGAGAACAGCAAGAAAAAAACAGAGGGAGAGGGATTAAAGTGAATAGGGAGGACAGAGAAGGATGAATTGAAAAAGGGAGAGAAGAAGAGATGATGAAGATGTTGGGGTGAAACCGGAAAGTGGGAGATGGAGAGGTAGAGAGAACACAAGGAGACAGCGGGCGTTAGGGAGGGAGAGAAAGAAAAGGATAGATGATCAGTGTTGGCAGGGCAACTGTACTGGGCTTTTGAAGAGGAGAGTCATCTCTGAGTTTGGCTGCTGCTTGCTTTCCCTGGAGAGCAATTACACAAGCAATTACACCCTATTACAAAAGTTCTTCTGATTTCTCTGACACAATGGCAAAGCTTTGACTGCTATTGGCATTGGTGTAGCAACCGGATCATTCATTAAATCTGACACTCGGATGCAACGAGGAGAGAAGTTGAGGATTATGCTGCTGCTGCTGGACACGGAAAAAGAAGTTAAATTAGAAGCTGACTCTTTTTATCAGAAAGTTTTAATCAAGTCCTAATAAAATCTCTCTGGACTGCTCCCCTGGAGACTGAAATATGGCTTTTTGAATTCCAGGCAACAGAGTGTTACAGTCTAATGTGTCTGTATTAATTACTTTTTCGACATGGTTCACTTGAGGATTGCAAATATTCACCTCCTCTTGGAGTTTAAGGGCAGCGTGTTTCTCCTTCTCTGCCAACTGCTTAAATTCCTCCATGGCGGGGACATCAGGCTGCTCCCATTCAGTCGCAGGCCGTGGATTGACCAAGTTTGGAGCCAATTTTAGGTGGTCGTCTGTTCTAGCTTTGGGAGATGACCATGGACATAACTGT